GCTTCTCAGTGAGCTGCATCCCTATACTTTTTTTACTTTGAACCAAGCTCTTGCTAAACCACTAAATTGCCCAGGCTGGTCTCAGCCTCCTAGAGTGCTGGGATCACAGGCGTGTGTCACCACACCCACTAAACACCATGTCTCATTAAGTTTCTACTCTTACTAACTCAAAATGGGAGCCGGTTGTGGTGGCTCATGCCTGTAATCCCAGCACTTAGGAGGCTGAGGCAGGAGAATTGCTGTGAGTTCAAGGCCAGCCTGGGCTACATATCAAGACCCTGTCTTTAAAAAACCAAACACAACAGCAAACCCTTCAAAATGGGGATTATATTTCGACACATGTAGCCTCGGTGGGCTCTGAAACCATATCCAGAGCACAGCACGATCCTAATGGGTATGACATGGCACCACATTGTGATTTATCTGCATTTTTAGTAACTGTACATTCTGCATACTTTTAAGCAACTCTTAGATATTTCAGAAAAATAATAAACATATGGAGGCTACAATGCAGTACCCTATTTAAAGTACAGCTGAAGATAAAATTTAAAACAACTTGAATGGACATAATTGCTAGTGCAGTGACTGTATTACATCCAAAAGGAACAAAGGCCTCTTCACTGTCCCCAAACAAGACCAATGTGATGAGCAGCAGTGATTAAAAAGAAATTACATTAAAAAGAAATCACATACTTGGTTTGCTTCATTTTTGCTGAAGGGCTCATCTGAAAGGTTCACTATTCATTAAAATGCATTAGTTTTCATGTTCCTCAACAAGGTGGGGTTACATTTGACTTCTTTACCCCATTTAGAAAAGCAATGGGACTGGCTTTAACTTAAATGCTACATTGTAATATTCCTTTTTTTCCTGGTCGTGTGGGACTGTTTACTTGTGGTCAACTTATTAAAACGTGGAATGTACACCTTAGATAACAGAAGAAAGAGTACCTGAATACTCTAGCTAAGCATAAATATCTTTATAATCTCTTTCTACAAATATTCTTCAGGAAGCCCAAACTAATAATTTTTAATCTTTTCACGATGACTGCTGTCCCAGTTTGGAGAAACTGGATGGTTAACTGTGGGTCCAGGCGGTCATTTGTCTTTATCCCTAATGATGAGAAATGATTCCCCCAACTTGCCAGAGAAACAAATACACACAGATCTCATTTTCCCTTTTTGTTGCTGAAACATTAGTCAGGGGGACACATGGTATTAAAAATTAAGTTCAAAACACTTAGAATAATTCTGTATTAGAAATGTGACTATCATAAGTCTCTTCTTTTGGGAGTCACACTGGGCTGGTTAAATGCTCCAATTCCACTATTACTAACATTCAGGGAGCAGAATATTCCAGCTTGTTCAAACTGGAGGTTTAGTTGTTACAACCCTGACTCCTGGTAGGTTGTGTGGGTTCAGTGAGGTCTCCTCTCCACAGAATTTGCTCCTGGATTCTGTGGTTCATTCTTTGGCAACTTTTTAGCTATTGCCATGAATATTTCATTTACATTCACTGATGTTTTAGCTGATGTTTCCATGAATGAGAAACTCATTGATGACTTTTTCTCCTGGTTTCGTGTTGGAATGATTGGGAAACTGAGGTGTAGGGAGAGGAGAAGCTGCCTGCCTCAGGCTCTTGGAAAGTTGACCTGCTACGATCCTGCTGTGGGTTCCTGCTGTGTTCTGGATCTTGAATGTCCCCAAAGCCCCAGGAGTTGAAGGCGCGGTCCCCAGCCTGTGGCACTGTTGGGAGTGGTGAGACACAGGGCTCCTTAGCTCCCTGGGGGTTTGCCCTTAAAAGATATTGGGGACCCCAGTCTCTCCCTCTCACTGTTCCTATTTCTAACGTGACCACTGTGCCCCTGCCACGATGTGCCACCATCCGCCATCCTCAGCAGAGGCCAAACCAATGGGCACCCCCTCCCAGCCTGCTCACGGACCTTGAATCTCCAAATCTAGGAGCTAAATAAACTTTTTTTTTTTTGAGACAAGGTCTCACTATGTAGCCCAAGCTGGCCTTGGACTTGCAATGATCTTCCTGCAGAGGTTCCCAAGTGCTGGGATGACAGCTGTGCCCACCATTCCTGGCTTAAATAAACTTTCTGTTTTATAAGCTGCCTCGGATATTTCACTGTGGGAATGCAAAGCTGCCCAAGACAGCCCCCTTCCTGGGCGTCTGGCATCCCTGTCTTTCCGGGCTCCACGGTCGGACTGCGTGGCACACCACAGAGGGACATCCCTGGGCCTGCCTTGGGATCCGTGGGGCAACTGTGGCGGAGCACGGGTTCTGAGTGGCACAGAACGCCGCCTGTCACTGTCCCCTGGCCAGGGGTGGACGAGGGGCTCTCTGGTTCTCATGACCAGCCGCGTCCCCAGGCGGAGGAGAGTATGATAGGGCTGTGCATATGCACAGCATATGCACATTACGGTGCCAAATTCCAACCTTTTTGGTGTGTTTCTGTTTGTTTGCCACAGAGCTTTTGGAATACGGTGTCCGAAGCAGAGCTTGAGACAGCTGCGAGGAATCCGCACTGGCCCCAGCCCAGCCCTGGGCCAACCTGCCCGGCTACCATGCCATGGTGCACACTCAGCCCATGCTGGCTTTGCACTTCACTCCTCACTTTTCATTTGATTGTTAGATTCGCTGTTGAGGAGGAGGAGGAGGTGTACTGAGGAATGAACCTGGGACCTTCACACTGATCTAAATCCCCAGCAATTTTCAAGTCCTTACATTTTGAGGCTGGGTCTCACTAAGTCACTCAGTTGCCCAAGCTGGGCTCAAACTTTTGATCCCCCTTCTCAGCCTCCCACGTGTTGGGATCACAGGCGTGCACCATGACACTCGGTTTTACGCCACTATTTAAAGTACTTTTGCGAGTGTTCCCATCCATCCAGTGTTGACCTCCAGTTGACTGAGATTGCCACCATCCTTGGCTCTTTATACTGTTCAGGGCACAGCGACACTCAAGGCCACTGACTATCAGCGGAATCTGTTGCCATGCTTTTGGAAATTGAGGTCTTTGCCACCATCCCAAGCTGCCCTACTCTGTAACTTTGGAGTCCCTAAGAGCCACAAGATCCCCACGATCACTCTGGCTAGCTGGCAAAAAGCAGAAGGCAACACATGGTCAGGATTAGAGCACAGCTCTCACAACAGACAGAAATGACTGCAGCTTCTCTGCTGGGTGCAGGTGGAGCTTACGTGGGTGCCCAGTCCCGGCCCTGTTCTCCTGACTCCCCTGGCCATGCCCTCTGACCCTGTTCTCCCATGAGCTCTCTGATCCAGCTGGCCTGGACCTCTGTCTAAAGTGTCTTCCAGGTAAGACCTCTGCTCCTCATCCCACTGCTTCTGCCCAAGTTCAGCCTCCGCTCTAGAGTCAGCTTCCTGGGGACTGGGGATGTAGCTCAGTGGTAAAGCCCTTGCCCAGCATACATGAGGGCCTCGGTTCCAGCCCCAGCCCTGCAAAACAAAAACCAAATGCAGAAAACCCAAGTCAGCCTCCCAACTTGACTCCTGCCCTGATCTCGCTCCACTTGAATCCCCCATCCCACTGCCACCTCCCGTCTTTCTAAATCACAAATGTGACCGAGTCACTCCCTCGCTTGAAGATATTTCACATTTCTCATAACTTACAGATGAAGTCCAAAACTCCAAGTGCTCTGTACTTCACTTTATAACCTGACATTAATATAATTTTCTAGCTTTCTATACTTGACTTTCTCTTCAGATTGTATGAATCTTTCGCCTTTTGCTAAATTGTCTAGCTTTCTGCCTTGAGATACTCCCACCCTGCTTCAACCCTTCCTCTCCCAAAATCTTTGGTAGAAAGGAGTTTCTGAATGCTTTGAAACCTTGTGGCTTTTCTCTTACTGTCCCCTTCACTTGAAAACCCCTCTTCCTTGCATAAAATGGTAGCTATCACTGGGGCTAGGCTTGGCAGTTCACGGAGAGAGGCTTTCTGGTACACTTTCACTGGAGAGGTCAGTGGTGAAGCATTGCTGCCAGGCCCCTGGGTTTGAACTCACCACTCACTAGCTGTTACTTTAACCTCTACTGGTTCCTTATCGTGAACATGGGGATAATGCTCCTGTCTTCTCTCCCAGGGTCATTTTGAGATTTAAAGCCTTTAGACCATTGCCTGACACCCAGTACCCACGTTATTTTATGCAACATTGATTTGTGTCACTGTCACTGTTGACCAACAGACAGCCCAAGTCTCTGACGTTAGGTTTCAGGTCTTCTGACTAAAAAGTTTGTAGAGGATGGAGTCCAGTGAAACACTTTGTTTTTCCACCTAGCAAGAGCCCTACTTGTTCTTCAGAGACCCCATAACCTCCTTCTCTGTCATCTGTCCTCACCTGAGTGTCACCCTGACACACAATAATGTTGATTGTAAGAACCACTGTTTTGTGAATCACGGGAGGAAATTGCCAGTAATTATTGTGAGATACCTTCTATTGTAAGGTGCATCCTCATTTCAGAGAAGTTAATTTGCATCTTAGGTACCCTGCTCCTAAATGGGCCAAGGTTATGAGCTATGGATCTCTAAGAACACATTGTACTGCATTTAGAGTTGGCTGTTGTGGAGGCTGATCCCCCTGCTAGCCTGAATAACTTTCAGATAGGGAATGTGTCCTACTTACTTTGGTATTCCAGTGCCTCATACTGTGCTGGTCGTAGATACATGTTCAGTGCCTATTTGCTTAATGTAAATTGATATTCTAGCCAGGTGTAGTGGTGTACGCCTGTAATCCCAGCACTAGGGAGGCAGAAGCAGGAGGATTGCCACAAGTTCGAGGTCAGCTTGGGATACATAGTGAGTTTAAAGGCCAATCTGAACTACATAAATGAGACTCTGTCTCAAAATAAATAAATAAAATTGAAATTCTAGTTCGTGATATCATATTAAACATGAAGAGGTTCGCTGGGAATGAAAGATATGTGTTAAACTTTGCATAATTATGAAACTCTAGTGACCCAACAGCTCAACCACTCATACCTTGGCAGATAGGTCTTCATGCTTTGAGGCACAGCAAAACGAGTGATGGCATAGGTGGTTTTCCACATGGCACCACTCTCCACGGGGATTGGGAAACTTGCCTTGCCTGGTGATGCTGCAAATCCATACACATCTTACACAAGCATCTGAAGATACATGTCCCCTTTGCCAGAAAGACAGGCTAACAATATTCCCAGTGACGTACCTGAGAATGCCACTTTTAAATTCAGTGCAGTGAAGGATGTGTTCATCACAACAGTACTTCTGGATTCACCTAATCTTATTCATTCTGAAGGACTTGGGTGACCTGCATTTTAAGATTTAAAAATAGGCACCTAGACGAGGCTTTGAAATACTTTAAGAATACAGCATCACAGGAATGCCAGATTCTATAAAATTTTGAACTACTTTCTCCCCCCAGTACTGGTGATTGAACCCAGGGTCTTTGCACTGGACTAAATGCCCAACCCTTTAGTTTTGTTTTGTTTTTTTAAACAAGGTCTTGCTGAGTTGTTAGGTTGCCCAGGCTGGGTTCAAACTTGAAGTCCTTCTGCCTCAGCCTCCCAGAGGGCTGGAATTACAGGCATGTGTCACCATGGCCAGGTTGACATGCATTTTCATCCTTAAGAATACTGTCACTTTTGTCATTTCAGAAGGAACAGCACTATTTTTTCAAGTTTTGTTTGGTTTTGTTACTTTCCATCAATTCGGCCAGTGGTGGCGAACCTACAGCACGAGTGCCGTAGTGGGCTGTCTGTATCATTGAAAGTTCTAGAAGGTTCACTATCAATGAATTAGGCCTTTGATGAAAAGAAAACGTAAAGTAGCATGATAAAGTTTCTTCTAGAATCTACTCTGCTGATCTTGAGCTTGCGGGGTACAAACTGAGGCTCTAGGAATATAAACCAACTTACCCGGGAAAGGTAACGAATGATAGTCTTTCCTCCTCTGTCCAGGACATCTTTAACAAAGGCTCCTGGCTGGATTGATTAATGGCAGACCAACTGCTGTTAGGTGAGTGTTGGTTCTGCTTCCCCTCTTTCTGTTTAGGTGTCTAAAACCGCAGACAGGACGGTGGCTGGTGCAGGTCATGCTGCGCGTGTGCCTTTCCCACCTTCTTCTGACACATGGGTGTCTTTGTGCCTGTCACCTTGTTCCGTAGTATGTAACACAGGAACTTTGGCGTGAAAACAGCTCTGCCCCAACCAGAGAACTGCGAAGGAAGACAGAGGCCCATGAGGTCGCTTGGGATCAGAGCCCTACCCAGCAGAAGTAATCTGGAGTGAGGAACAGCTTTCTGCTGCTGTAAGGAACACCTGAGGCATTCAGGGGTGTGTTGGTCAGCTTTCCATTACTGCAATAAGATGCCTAAGACAAGAACTTGAAAAGAGGAAAGGGTTATTTTGGGTCACGGTTGTGCAGGTGTCCGTCCATGACTTATTGGCCCCATCGCTATTGGGGCCATGGCAAGGCACTACCATGGGCAGTGCATGGTAGAGCTAAATTGCCCACCTCTAGATAGCGGGCAAAAGAGACAGAGGTAGGCCAGGTGTGGTGGGGCATATCTGTAATTGCAGCACTAGGGGGCTGAGGCAGGAGGATTGATATGAGTTTGAGGCCAGCCTGGGCTACACAGTGAGTTCAAGGCCAGCCTAAACTACATAGCGAGAATCTGTCTCAAAACAAAAAATAGAAAGACCAAGTGGGACTAGGGTCCCACCCCAATTTTTAGGGGCACCTCCCATGCTGGGCACAGTGATGTGTGCCTGTGGCTCCAGCCACTTGAAAGGCTGAGTCAAGAGGAATGCTTGAGCCCAGGAGTTCAGAGCCAGCCTGAAAACAGTGAGAGCTCATCTCAAAGAAAAAAAGCACAATTCACAATAGCCAAGTTATGGACTCAGCCTAGGTACCTGTCGATGACAAATGGACAAAGAAAATGTAGTACATATTGACAAGAGAGTATTATTCAGGAATAAAGAACAAAACCATGCCAGAAAAATGGGTGGGACTGGAGATCATCCTGTTAAATGAATTAAGTCACTCAGAAAGACAAGTACAGCAGTTCCTCCAAAATAAGACCTAACCAGAAAATAAGCCCTAGCATAATTTTTCAGGATTCTCTTAATACAAGTTCTACCCTCAAAATAAGCCCCAGTTAAAATCATCAGCCAGATGGATACATTCAATATGTCTGTTTCAATATATGACCGACGTATTGAATTATAAAATAATAGTCTACAGCCGGAGCACCCTGAATGCACCAGATCTCATCTGAATTATAAAATAATATTATTATATAATTAAATATAAATAAATATTATTGATAACACTTTAAATAGATGATAATATAAATTATAATTAAGTTTCTGTAAAAATCCAAGCAGGTGCCTTTGGAGGAGAGGTAAACTCTTATGTACACAGATGAACTCAAGACTCATTACCAAGTGACCAATCAGAGCACAGACTCAGCCCATGCATAACGTGCACTCTTGATAACAAATGGACATGGCTGTGTCTAATAAGAATCTTCGTAATTCAACAGACTTAGCAGACATACTTAATGTACTCGTGTGAAATAAAGAAACATTTTCTGGATTTTGATGCCTGCAAGTTTTTGCCGCTTTTTTGGTGGTGGTGGGGGGACCGGGGATCAAACTCAGGACCTTGCACTTGTGAGGCAGGCTGTGGGACCTCTGAGCTAAATCCCTGGCCCCTTGACGTTTTGTGTGAACCATCATCTTAACTGTCATCATTTTTGTTGCCTCTTCTGTCTCATAAGTCTTCAACTAACACTTGATTTAGTGGAAACTTTGCAAAGTCTGGCCTGCAAGAGGTTGTGACCTGATGACAAATGCATGGGATAAAATCACCAGGAGCTGTGCTGCCAGTGTGCTATGTGCAGGCTACGTGGGCAGGAAGGAAAGCTCTCTTGCTGGATGTGGAGACCGGGCCAATGGTTCTGCAGGAGATAGAGTGGCAAGGAATCCAGGCAGGATTTCGGGGTTTAGAGAGTGCAGGTGATGCGATGCTCCAGGAGAAGATGACATGACTGTATTTGAATAAATGTAGACTTTTGTACATGAATAAATGTAGCTTTGGCGGAGTTGTTGTTGTTGTTAATCTTTTAAATTTGTACATTTCAGATATACATACACATTCACCATATGGAATTTGTACCTGTACACGATATAACTTTTTTTTTTTTTAGGTACCAGAGATCAAACTCAGGAACTTGCGCTTGTGAGGCAGGAGGTGGAACCACTGAGCTAAATCCCTGGCCCCACGATATATCTTAATTCTTTTTTCCCCATTTCCCTCCCCTCCCTTCAACCCCTCTTCCTCTCTTTGTTTACAAAAGCTTTGTTTCAATTTTTTCCTTGTCCTGTCTTTCCTTTCCCCCTCCTCCCTCCCTTGTTTCTCTTCTCATTTGAACAACAACTGTAGATTTTTTTTTTTTGAGACAGGGTCTCCCTTTCTAGTTCAGGCTGGCCTTGGACTCTCAGCAGTCCTCTTGCCTCAGCCTCCTGAGCACTGGGAGCAAGTGTAGATTTTTATACATGTATAAATGTAGATTGTTGTACATGAAAAAGTAAGACATCCTCTGAAAATAAGTGCTATTGCATCATTTGGAGCAAAAATTAATACAAGACCCAGTCTTATTTTCAGGGAAATACAGTAGCTAGTCTACCAACTCAGTCCATAGGGACAGTGCCCTAATCAGTGTCCCTTAGTAGGCCAGCATGGTGGTGTATCCCTGCAATCCCTGTACTCTGAGAGGCTGAGGCAGGAGGGTTCCAAATTTGTACCCAGCCTGGGCAACTTTGTGAGTTAGCCAGTCCCTGTCTCAAAACAGGAAGGAAGGAAGAAAGGAAGGGCTGGGGATGTAGTTCTATGCTAAGGCCCTGGGATCTATCCTTAGTACCACAAAAAAAAAAAAAAAAGAAAAGAAAAGAAAACCCTTAGTGATGGTTTATTAAATCATTTTACTTTTTGTTTATTTTTTCAGTCTCAGAAGAAGATAAGTGCCATAAAAGTGCAATGAGAAAGCCAGACATGGTGGTGCACACCTGTAATCCTAGTATTCAGGAGACTGAGGCAGAATGATCACCACCAGTTTGAGGCCAGCCCAGACTACATAACAAGACCTTATCTCAAAGAACAAACAAAAATACTATGGAAAAAGTTTTAACTATGAACTTCCATGATCCTTGTTACAAAAGGCAGTTTGAACATAGATAGCCCTTTATCCTATCTCTCCTCAAATCCCACACAAATGAGAAAAAGTAATAGCAAACACATAAAATTTACTACATGTCAGAGACTGCCATAGAGGTTTTTGATATATTAATTGATTTAACATTTAGAATTAAAGCACTAATCCAGCGAGGTAGCTACTCATATCATTATTATCATCATCATCATTATTTGGGGTTGTTTGTTTTTGAGACAAGATTTTGCTATGTATCCCAGTCTGACCTCAGACTTATGGTGATCCTACGACCTCAGCCTCTCAAGTATTGGGATTGCTGGTGTGTGCCATCACACCTAGCTTCATAATTTTCAAAAAACTTTTATCATAAAAAAAAACTTTCTTTTTTCTCCTTGATGCCAGTGATTGAGCCCAGGGCCTGTGAAAGCTAAGTACACATTCTACCACTGCACTTCACCTTCAGCCTATATAATACCATTGTATAGGGAGATTCTGTACATTTCTGGAGAGATGAAGTAGGTCACACAAGTGGAGCTGACCCCCTGCCAAGTTTACTGGCAGGCTATAAGTGGCACAGGCTTCTTGGTTCCCCGTAATTTGGCTGTGTTATATTAGGAGTCTGACTGAAGCCCATGTGACTCAGGAGCATGTTGAATGGCACAAGGGCTAGTACAGCTTCCCCGCCAGTGGCTGCCTCAGAGATCTAAGTCCTGGTGTGTGAAATTTCAGGTCTCCCAAAAGAGATAATATCACGGCCGAGGACAGTATGGCTCCAACTAAATTCCTTTCCCTGAATTACGGCCTCCCCCCACTGACCTGATGGGTTACTGGTTAATTACGACCCAGTCTTGGTCACCCTTTGTTCCTTGTGCAGGAATGCCTTGCCCCCCTTTTACAAGGCTTGCTGTGATAACTGCTATCGCCAGATGCCTCACACACTATTGTCAGATGTCTCACATACACCCTGCCCTGTTTCTCCTGTTCTCCTCACACTTGTAATCAATAAATACTGGAGATCTTGGGTCCCTGGTGTCTTTGGTGCCAGTTCAGCTTGGGCCATCTGAGTTCCCTATATCCTGTCTAAGTCTTGTTTCTGTGTCTTTCTTCAATCTTGTGTCATAGCCCTAGGCAGGCGATTGGGACTCAAGGCTGAGGACTCCAATACACAAGGCTCAGAACTGGAATGACAGCCATATGCTCTATGATGGCCTAAAACCAGCGTTAATTTTTTTCAATATAAGAAATGGAGAGATGCCAAATTCAGAGGAAACATGATTTTCCAACTAAACTCACATTCCCAGCCTGTAGAAGGGAGTAAAATAAAAACATTTTCTAGGGCCTGGAATTTAGCTCAGTAGCTCCACTGCCTGCCTCAAAAGTGAAAGGTCCCGAGTTCGATCCCCAGTACAAAAAAAAAAAATTTTTTTTCTGCTGGGCTCTTGCACAGCAAAAATTTTATTTGGTCCCTGCTTTTTTCCAACAAGTTCCTGGAAGATGTATCCCACCAAAAACAAAGAGGAAGGGGGCCAGAGATTTAGCTCAGTGGGTCTGCTGTCTGCCTTGCAGGTGCAAGGTCCTGAGTTTGATCCCTGGTACCAAAAAAAAAAAACAAAGAGGAAGGCCTGAGATCCAGAAAACAGGAAATTCCACCCAGAAGAAAGGTCAAGAACATTTCCAAGTGCTGGAGGACACAGGTGTGCAGCTGATAGAGAGGCAAGTTCTCAGGCGGAATTTAGCTCAGCGGTTTCACCGCCTGTTGCACAAGCGCAAGGACCCGAGTTCGATCCCCCCTACCAAAAAAAAAGAAAGAAAGAGAGGCAAGGTCTCTTTTGGCTCATGGCTTTACAAGTTCCAGTTCATGATTGGGTGGACCTTTGTAGGTGCCAAGGTCCCACAATCCCCTGGGAGATACACTCTGCCCCTCCCAGTGACCAAGGAAAAAAAAAAGATCATCAATAGGTGATTCATATCTTTGATCAGCTTATATTTTTATTTGAGTATTT